GTGGAAAATCCCGAGCTTTGTGCTGCCGACTCGTTTATGTACTTGATTATTCTTTCCAAAATCNCCCAAGCAATAATTTATCGCTCATCTTCAAATTACAATAGTTGGGTCAGAATGTGTTTTACTCAAGCATTCCGAGATTGTATCACTTTATTGGCGCTTGAACCCGAGATTGAGGCGCGTAAGACACTGGAAGCACTTCGGAACACGGCTGAACAGAACCCTAACGAAGGCGAAACTTGCCGAAACGTTGGCCAGTAAAGTGATACAATCTTGTAAGGCTTGAGAGGAACATATTCTAACTTTTCTGCAAAATGCCTGGCGATTTGCAAACTGTTAGTCGGAATCAAAGTTGAAGCGTAACAAGGAACCTAAGAGATGCTGCGTCTATGCCGCACGAGTGCTTGTCTTTCAATGATTTCTATTACTGTGTCTGTTGAACTCTCACAGTGCTTCGGCATTCATGTGGAATTGTGCTCTAGAATGCAGTCCATTGCTATCCAATTTTGGTCGGCACTTCAAAAAAATTGGTCACTCCTCAGATATCGGAGGCCCTGCTGCCCTTTGATGGCTTTTTGAGAGAGCTCCCACTGGCTTCGTGCACTTTTCAGAAATGAAGAACTCTCCTTCACCTTCAGTTGAGGCACACTCTAAGCCAACAACTTCTGTAATTTCTGCACCTTATCCTGGATTCCTTTTCTGCATTCCCCTATCATTGCGATGTCATCAGCATCAGCGTGGAAGATGGCTTTCAGTGATTTATCCATAAGTTTTCCTGCAATGACTTCCTTTATAAGCAGGGAGAGGAATGGCCGCGAAGCTAAGCCTTGGTGTGCCATAACTGTAGCGTCTGCTTCCTTTCTTAGGTCATAAGAAAAACGTACTGTTGTTTTAGATCAATCGTACATGCCTTTGAAGTGGGAGATCAGGTGTTCCGGAACTTACTTTCTCTGGAAGCTCTCCAACGGACTGTTGCGTCAAGCATGTGAAACGTTATTCGCATTTAGGAGGGCAAGGTAGCAGAGTCTACTGCTCTCTGGATACTTCTCCATTACTTGTATAAGTAGGAAGTATTTCATCCATTAGAAACCTCTGAAGCATGAAACCACCCTGTGAGATTGAGTCCAGATTCCTTAGTCTTTAATCGAATAGTCGTTCGTATAGCTTCATGTTATGGGCAGTCAACTGATCCCGCGGCAGGTGGAACACTCTATGGCATCCCTCTTCGGCTTTAAGATGGGGATGATAGTGCTTCATGCCTCAATGGGTATCCCATCTGGATCAATTGTATAATAGCATCCCCAATCTTCATCTTTACTATTGCTCGACAGATGTCATCTTCTGTTCAAGGCCGTCTGTACTTTGGGGCTGTTCTTACGGGCAATTCTTCGCTTAGGACTCTGAAGAGGTATTTTTCCATCTACGCATGACTTCACCAGGCTTCTTCCCGCTGTCTTTCACAGCCCTCACTACTATGATGTCTTGAGTAGCCCGAAGCCGTGCTTTGGATAGACAAAAGATGAGGTTTCCTCCTTCACCACTGTCTAGGTTCTCGTTTACCATCTTCTTTGCTTTTGCTGTTGCGGTGTTAACGAGCCCTTGCAGATTCTGAAGGTTGCTAGGCTCTCAAAGATCTCATCTTTTGCCTGCGCTTGTACACGTCCAAGCAATGTACCTCCCACAACGTGTTGAAAGTCGTTGACTGCATGCTCATCCTGTTCCGTAGAGATCAAGTCTCGCAGGTGTATGTGAGCACGAGGGAAAGCGTTGTCAAAAAGGCGAGCGCGTAGGCGAATGTCCTTTGTCCTTTTACTTTTACTTTCTTGTCATTTTTGAATGACTCCCATGCCGTGCGTTTCCTTCTCCCCAGCCTGAAGCTAGGCCGCTCATTATGCTGAGCTTTCGGCATATACATCGCCAAAGCATGCCACTATATATATATAACGCACTGAAAGTGTCTGCTGTTTGACTGTGGGTGTGTTTTGTGTGTATTCGACCGCAAACTCATAACTCCTTTTCCCATAGACCTATGAGGTTCAAAATTAGCAAGACTACAAGCGGCAGGATGGAAACACCTACGATGGGTGGCAAGAACAAGAAGAAGGACAAGGCAAGAAGGTTCACATGAGGCGGAAAATGCGCGCAATAAATGTTTGAGCGGGATTCCATAACTACGGTTCCCGTGGACAAAGAGGATTTCAATTTTATAGGAGCACAGGCGGCAGCATTACAGTGAGTGACAGGACTAAACTCTCTCCCCAGGGGCCAGGCTTGCTCAAAAACGTCAAATTGGACCTAGGGCGCTGAAATTGGGCCGGAATACAAGAGGCAAGTTGGGAAACACTGAGGATAGGTGGCAGGGCTAGACTCCGCCCACAGGAGGACGGGGTTTGCGCGAAAAGGTCAAAATGGACATTGAGCCTTAAAATTTGACAGTACAGGAGTAAAAATGTGAACTCTGTTGGGAGGTGACAGAACTAAATTTCATCCACAAGAAGCGTGGCGTGAGCGAAAATATTCATTTCGGACCAGTTATCCCTTCAATAGATCGTTGTTCGCGAGATGAACAGCAACAGATCGAGGTTCAAGCTATGGGCATAAGCATCGGCACATACTAAACACACTTGCACGCCCTGCCAGTCCTCTGTCGGGTCTCGTGTTCCGAAAAATACCATTTGTTCCGTAGGGGGAGTGGGCTGTCTGCTGGTTGCTACTTCATGCGAAGGAGGGAAGCCCGGGGTCAGCCGGGCGATCGCCTGGTTTAGAGGTATTCTATTCGATGTTCAACGGGAGCATCAGAATTCATGTACGGTCGGTCCACGCAAGCACTCTTCACGAGCGTTTTCAAGTTCTGCAAGCAATCGTTCTGCCTGCCCCATGTCCCGTGCCAACTTCTCGGCTTAGACGCACATACCTGGAGCACTCAGAGGCGCTTAGCATAAGAGTACTTATGAATTGATATGTATACGTTTCATTTACTAAACAGAGCTCGCAATCATAAAAAAACTGAAATGTTCCTCGAAATTTGAAGTTGTTGGGAAAACTGCTGTAAGAACATTCGTTTACCCTCCAGGTGAATTCAGCTAGTTTTTTCTTGGCTCTAACCTCATTTGTGGAAAATCCCGAGCTTTGTGCTGCCGACTCGTTTATGTACTTGATTTAGAGATTGCAGGTCTATCCATTCGCTGCCGAATGGTATGATTGTGAGTACGAAATACGCAGTAATAAAAGTAAAGATTGCACTTATGAACAGTGCCAGCATCGCTCAGGAGGCGACGGCACAGTTTGATAAGATCGATTAGCCAGCCATATTTATCGTGGTCGTCGAAGAAAGCGAAGCTGGTAACTTCAATCACAGTTTTTTTGCTTGAGTTTGTTACAGTTCCTGCTCCATCTTTGTTCGCCATTTCAACTGTCACTTATAGGTTGATCTAATGGCTACTACAAGTGGCCTATGTAGCTCAAACATCTTCGCATGCGCTGCTGATATCCTATAGTCGAAAACTCAACACAAATGTTGTGGGTAAAAACTTTTTGTACGATTTGGCATACTTTCATTTGCCCATAGAGTGAATTACATACATGTGAACCATAGTATCTCTTATGTATCTCGTCAATCGGCCAATCTTATTCAATTTTTTATGAGACGAAAATCTATGGGGTGGTTCCGTTAGTATACATATATGACACGAATCGCGGGCCGCAACCAACGCTTTTCAGAAAAATTCGAATTGAAATGCCTGAATGAGGGCTCTTTAGATGTGCAAAGTAGGTCTACTCGATGCAAGCAGTCGTTAAACAAAGGGAATGGCGTAGGGCGGTATAAGTGGGGCGAAGTTTAAAGAGTAGTGCACATTACAGTGCTGGGAGCCTGAAATGAGTACGTCTCTGATTTTATCCAAAACATTCGCAAGTTCATTTCTACTGTACCTTTTAAATCTGTCACTTGAGCTCGTAGGCCTGGAAATTATCGACTGCGAGAAGACCAGCAAAGTGTTGAGGGTCTTAGACTCTTTTGCTTTGCCCCTTGCCCATAAATTGTTTCCAAGAAGCTATTTGCATTCACTATGACGTAGTAACCAATAAAAATGTTATTATGAACATTTTATCAGCAGCACTGGTTTCTCGCATTTTTCGAAGATCGCAATGTTATCCTGCTTACCCGTATGTTGGAATTGATTTCTTATTTTTCAAACAGATATAACATGTAAGAGGACTATCCTTCAGGTATTCGCTGTTAAGTGGGTACCCTGACCTATCTAAGGGAACTCAGAAAAGGACAAATGGTCGAAGACAGAAAACTTCTTATCGCCATTGTTGGCACATCTATTATTGCCTACAATGTGAGTAGCAATTAACCATATTCTCAGACTATCCTCACGGTTACTGCTTTGGACCGAAGTTACCATTCATGAATCATGAATTGTCATTTGGGTATTGACCGAGCGACATGTTCCATTCGCTGATAAACTTCACATTACGCCCCTTGGACAAAATGACATGCATATGTAGATGTTGGAACTATTTCGAACATAGGGCACCTCTCAGTGATTAATGTAAGGCAGTGCTGACCACAGCTGTTTTCAGGGAATTCGATATTTACTGAATTATTTTCGCTATCGTTGTTCTCCCCTGACTCCTGTTGGAACTGTTGGAGCTCTGTACGTCTATCCAGTGAAATCGTGCAAAGGAAAAAGTGTTAGTCAGATTTGAGGAGTTCTTGAAGTCCTTCCTAATAGATAAAATATGAAAACTGAAGAATTTTGGCGTCGAATAGTTTTTTCTGGGTCTTCATAATCTTAGGTCGTCGTCGTGTGCGGCGGTGTTTCCATTCTTCTCTCTACCGTGATTTTTGTCATTCCCTATTCATTCTTTTTGGTATTTATTTTAAATATTGGTATTTCATTATTTTTTAAGAATATTACCCTCATAGTTTTTACTTGCCTTCCTTGTACGTATATATCCTAGTATCCTTTGCCTATTCCGGGGTTAAGTTTCTTTTCTCCTGCCTTCTGTGATAACCTTTCGCCTGTATTGATTCTCCATGGCTCGTGGGTCACAGAGCAAAACGGCGGATAGGGACCAGGACAAGGATCTCCCTCTCTCGGCCTCTATAATGTTGGAACAATTCGCCTCTTCTGCCAATCGAATCGTAAAGGCTCTAACATCGTCCCTAGCCAAATTGACTGATAGGATACACGGCGTCAGAGCGAAATCATATCTCGCCTTGATGCATTGNTCGGAAGAAAGGAGAGGACCTTTTCGCCTAAACCAGCAACGATCTGTAGTTGGATCAGCGGAGTGAAGTGTTCCGTTGTAAACTAATTCACTTCTCGTTTTCTTTTCGGAATGCATGAAAAAAGGAAATTCGTTTGCTCTTAGTAACCAGTATTTATGATTGGCAGCTTTTCATCGCACGTTTTTTTATTTCGAAAATTCCAACCATTTTCCGCCAATCCACATTTGCTGGAAGTTGGGAACTCCAACGTTCTATTGGCCAGAAGACCGGGACTTTTATTCTTCAGTTAAAAATCCTAAATGCCCCGTAGGCGAAAGTTATAGGTCCACTTGGGTAGCCCTTCAATATTGGTGACGTCAGACGCGCCTGTCCTTCGGTGCGTGAGTCATGAAAATAATACCAAGATCCTTAAGATAGATCGGCAAATCATTCTAACGGAACTTCGGGCTATCAGCATTTGGTGTTGTTGCGATTGCGTGCTGGCAGCGCTAGCAGCACCTTGGACTCAAACATTCTTCAACCCCGCTCAAGATTTTTGATATCACAATGAAACAAAACTGTTAAAGATAGATCGATCTGGCCAGATTAAGGATAAAAAGGTAAAGCCTTGGGGCTGTAATCAACCCCGTCTGAGGGATGCCCCACACATTCGACTTCCATTCAGAATCGTTTTGGTTTATTGAAGGCATGGCATATACAGTGCTGGCTGTGACCAGCTCATGCACAAGTCAGTGCTTTTATCATCCCAGACAAGTCTTATACCAATTAGTCGACCTCGGAGGGATGGAAGGCTTGGTTTGGCCAGGAGGATACCTATGTGGGATTGGACCCCGTGATCGTGCGCGTGAGACATTTCGCCACTATACCACCTCCGCCCTTTTACAGGCTTATTATTCCGAATTTCCATGGCGTTGGGAGCTGCTTTCCCAGGCAGGCCTGCCTTATAACAACGATCTTTAATAGACATGTGGATCGAGGTACCTCCACAGTTCACATAGGTAAAATGTTATGCAGTAAAGCAGCACCGTAGTAACAAAATCTCGGCTAGAGCTGTAGATTGAAATAAAACCCAATTAGCAATTTTCGGACCCTTTCTTTTCTTGCGAATTCAATGCTTTGCTTATTTATTGAGAGAAAAATTGACACAATTCAAAATCGTTTTTAAGGTGTTCTCCGTATACTGCGATGAGTTGGGTCCTGTAGCAGGTGAGATGCGAGATCGCCAGTTCGTGGTAATAAACGGTGAAACGGGACGGTATGTGCAGTCTCATATTTTGCACTGTTCCTAATCTTTTCAAACATTTAGTAAACATGAGTGGACTTCAATCAACATGAATGTTTTTGTCTGATATCTGAAAATCCAGAAAAGTCCCTGTCTAAAATTGAAAAGGGAACCTTAGAATGTGGTACTCATGACGTTGGGAACTTTTGAAGATGGGTATGAATCAACGCAGAAAAATGTGGTACTGTGTTTTCGATATCAGCACAGCATTTTCACACTTTCTTGTGTTGTTTCGTATCCATCTTGGAATCCCAGCCCCATGAGTGCTACATTTAGTGTTTCTTTTTCGGGTTATAAAGAGAAGTGTTGCAGTAGCGGTAGCGAGGCGAGTGTATTTACATAATAGGGATATGTGCTCCTTTGTGAATGATGTGTGCCTCCATAAGTTCGTTGAAACACCTCGATCCCTGGATGTGGCGCTAGGCATAGACAAGTCTAGAGCCCTTATTACACTCTATGCAGGCCATTTTTCGACTCGACAGCGTTTGCCATTCTTGGGAGCCACAAATTCCTCATATAAGGTAATCTGAAAAACCATGACGTGAGCTGTGCGTCTAATTTTGGAGGGCGTTGAAGGTTCAGTCTTCTGCCCGCCCCTGACGACTATCCATTTTGCACTCATGGCAGCAGAAGGTAAACAAATAATCACGTAAGTCTGAAGCCTATCATTGAAACCGGGGCTAACGGGTGGTGTCTAAAAAAGGTTTCCTATATGAATTGGGGAACATTTCTCCGAACCCTCACTTCCATTGTTGTTTGCTAACACAGTGAAGAAGAGAAGTCACAAAAGAAGGGGGTTAAAATTGCACGGTTCCGAAGTTTCTCCTGCCTTTCCCGGTTGATACAGTGAAGGCGAAACCTGTTCTTTCACTTATTCTTTACAATGTACATTTGATCTTTTGACTTCTTGCTTCAGCTCTTGGAAACAGAGAGGACAGAGGAAGAGCATTTAAGCGAGAGCAATCACTAGGATGCGATATGAAAATCGCATCGCAGTATAGACTCTCATATCGCATCCTCGCAGTGATTGCTCTCTCTTTAGTGCCCTTCCTCTGCCCTCTCTTTTGTTTCTGGGCAGGCGGAATATCGGTAGTATTATGGATAGAGCACGGTGCCCGGAAAGCACAAGTACGGGTTCGAGTCCCGTCCGAAACCTAAGCTTTGTCTATAGATCGCCATCCTTGTGAGAATCAATGGAATTTCAGATTCTGGACAGCTACATCGGCACCATGTATGGTACTAATTGACTGCGAAGTTCGCGATGGAGTCTTGGCGATGTCATATGTAGATGGAAGCTCAGTAAAAGTGATACTAAAAGATGTTATGAAACGGAATGCCATCAGGACTGCAAGGTACCCTCCGATCACTATTGAGATAGGTCCCTAGAATTGCTTCAGAATAGTTAAAGACATTCTATGCCAGGGTCTATAAAAACGAGCGATGCGATGGTTTGGACTGCGGTGACGATGCGGCCACATTTCTTGCTAATATAATTCAAGACCCCGGTATCATTCATGTTTATGCGGATACTCTTGTAGGAAATGAATTGAGTTTAATCGACATGTTGGTAAGCGAGAAAAGAATTCGGCTTCCTTATTCCGAGAGGTTTTTTTCCAAAGTACTGAGCTCCCATTCTTCAACGGCCAAAGAACCAACTGCTCAGGGAAACGTATCAAGTGAGGGGTTTCGCTTACTTTGATCTGACGATGGCTCTTCAGATTGCAAGCCTAAAATAGGTGGTGAAAATTCAACGACTCTGATTATTTTACTCCCTTCCTATCACTTCTTTACATGTATTTGAACAACCAACGTAAGGGACCTACATAGTAAGCTCAAGCTGTATTTCATTTGTTGTTGCTAAACAATCCCAGTTTGTACACAACATCTCCTTTTTCTTCAGAGGGATGTGTAAAAATTTATGAACTCACGGCATCATTTGCACAAGAATTTATGAAGATATTCATCGCGAAAGCATTTGGTAAGGTCAAAGAAATCGCCGTTGTCTTGCTACCTTTCACTAGCGCTGGGCTATTCTGTTGCTTTTGGTGAAAGAACAGAGAACGTCGTTGCGAGCAAACACCTCGAATGAGGATTCTATGCCATCATGGCGCTGCCATTGTTGTTCAGACAAAGAGGGACAATTGGGTATTTCATGGATGTTTTTGTCCCAAAGCACATCTCTTCAGTTTAAAATGTGTTTATTTATGTACATTTGCGCTGATGAATCGTCGCTCCTCTATATGCGGCTTTTTTGAAGTACTTGTCACGTCAACAAATCATGACTTAGTGTTATACTAACTGATTCGAGCAGGGAAGTAGAACTGTTTTAATGGTCTCTTATCTCCCCAGAACTAGATAATCTCAAGCGTCTTGACTTTATGCTCTTGTCATCTGCTGTGATTTCGCAGCATCACACCATGTGAAAAATTGGTTAGTAGTGGGCAAATCAGAGGGAACGACTACGGCGAAAGCCATGGTTCGAAAGCCACTGAAAAGGCGAGGGCGAACGGTGTTCCATTAATGCATGAGAGAAAAAGCAACAAAGCAGGAATATGAATTCGAATCCCTTTCTAGGCCGAACTTGTGCCCAGAGCTCGCCAAATTCGTAAGACCTCAATGTCGACAACCTTTCTCTCATCGACCACCTTTTAAGGATTTGCACGAACCATGATTTATTTATTTGTTTATTTATTTATTTATTTGCTGCACTCATGGCGTCCCGTAGCACTCAGGCAAATGATTTAGTAAGCCCAAGCACAGCGAAGTAGAACATGGAAAAGAAACACAAAAATTCTCAAAACACCAGCTATAGCACGCCACAATCAAAGAAGGCAATGCAACATTCCCCTAACTTACCGAAACAGACAAAGAGACAAAAAAGGGAAGTATCAGTCAAGCCAGAACGCAAAGCAAAACAATATCAAAATGGCAAGAGGCGGTTATGTACCCACAATATGATTGGAGCATTGACTGCACCGATCACTAAACATTTAGCAATATGTTTTGAAATAACAAGGTGCCTAGTCAACCGGGCAACGCAACCGGCCGTGGTCGTTCCCGGGCGGACCAAAGTAGTTGCCTCTCTAATCTAATGACGACCCAGTGCATAAGACCCAGGTCCATGATGTAAGAAGTTCCAATACCTGTTGACCTGCACTATCTTAAGCAACACGAGTTTAGTAGAAGTGGGTACGTCTACCCTGTGAAGAAAAGCAATGATCGTTGTTCCTTTGTAGTTTTCTATGTTTTCGTTTGAAAAGGTTTTTCTACTGCAAGTATCAGGAAGAATGTTCACTCTACTCTGGATTTCTACCTCGGCCTTACGCTGACAGAGCAGTAATGCGCGAAAGGCGTGTGCAGTATGTACGTATAAAAAACTGCTCGATTTCACAGAGCTCGCATGGCATTATAAGTGGCTTTGGGATGAGGGCCAAGTGGTTACCATGCCTGGTGCTGCTGATGTGAGAATGTTGAGTTGGTGGAAACAATTTCTGTCGTTCTGAGGATTCGTGATTGCATGCATGAAATTAGCGAGTTTCAGATGTTCGTCTTCTAATGTATGTGAAAGGGCTGTTCACCGAAAGGGCATGTGTGACAACTCCCACGCCATGGTATGAAGATGCTCCATCAAGAAAAGACAAGGTATTGTGGGTATGACTTTGGGATAATATAAAATCATTGCTCAGAGTAAGATGGAGTAGGTCTTCCATTTTCTTCAATTCTCAACTTGCTGCGACCAACCTATTGTATTTGAATGGACCATGTTCGAATTTCTCTTAATCTCGGCATAGCTGAACTTGTCTCTTGAGCTGTTTTGAGCCATTCCGAGATTCACAACTTTATTCAGCTTACGTTTCGGCCTCCGCCTTCTTCAGAGCCTGAAAGCCGAAAATTGAATTGACCTTTGAACCAAGTCTAAATTTTCGAAGAAGCGAAGAAATCGCATCTGCTCAACGCTGAATGGTAGATTTCATTACGACCCCTTTTCATTGTATCTAACTATGGAGTTCTATGTGGAACCTTGACTTTCAGAAGGGAAGAAGTGATGGTTACTGCAGAAAGTTGAATCTGAACTTGTTTTGGAATGCAAAGTGGCTGGTATTGGTACCAATATATTGATAATGGGGTAATAGTGGATATATTAAACCAGAAACCACATTTCTGATTTGCGCTTTTCTATAACAACGATAAACAGGCGCTACTGTTACTAAGAATGATTACCTTAGTTGGCTTTCAATGATGACGCACCCTTCATGATCAATACGCAATCATCCCTCGACGATCTCAATGGAAAACTGCACGACAAGGTTTGCTATTACTTTTTATTCTTCGACCAGTAAAAAGGGGTTGGTAGGCTACAAATAGCAAGAGTCCTACGTAGCCCCTTTTTCACATCGTCGTCAACATTGTTGAAAGGTTTTTGAGCGCTCACATCGCTTCAGGTAACCATCGAACAATTTCGACCTGTTATTGTGGTGAATAACTGCGATGCTTTCGACGAGGACAAATGGTATAGTGTTCATATTGGAGATGTAGCACTGCAATGCACGAAGCCATGCGAACGGTAAAGCTTCTTTTTTCCTAGTCATGCAGAAAGTTCATAGGAAACCTCAGTTTTTGAGCGAAATGCTTTCTGAGATTTTACCTGGGATGAGCCTGTAACCCTCAAGGATAGCACAAGTGACGGTGTTGGGTTTGAACGCTCCAAGTGCACAGGAATAGGGGTTATGGACTCCCGCTCGGGAATACACACATACACCCACGCAAACACATAGACATTAGCGCATTACATACATACAGCAGGATATGTGAATTTCATATATGTGTATGAAATATAACACATATAAATATGGAAGATATATATGTCTATATGTATATATGTATGTGTTAGGTTGGCAAATAAGTCCTGCGACAAAATGGAGACCTTTTTTGATCATTTCTAATTTTTTTTTCATATCAGTCAATTTCCGGAAAAATTTGACCGAAGAAGTCGACAACCTCCTTTTATCTTCGGAGCCAATCACTGATGCCATCTCTTCAGAAGTGAGGGAGCTGTGACTCAAAGAAGTAATTGACTGCCGTTTTTGGACCACATTAAGTTACGATTTTTTTTCACAAAAAAGGCGGAGCACATGGTAGGTAAAAGGGGGAACACTTTGGGAGTACGACTGATGAACAACCTGGAGCCAATTCGAATCGTAGGACTTTTGACGTGGGTTTAAAGCGAACTCTCGAAGTGTGTTGTCGCACTGTAGGGACCTGATTTACGGTTTTGATCGTCCTTCTCTAACCCCGTTGGCCAATTAAAGGGGATCATAGGGGCAAGCGATAGCTGTGTCTATCTAGTCTGCGTTTAGCAACTCTTAGTGGATGGATTCCTTCAACCTCCACTAAATTAAGGGACGATGCTTGCGTTACTCCGAAGGCTAGTATCTCCTGCAGTGAAACGATCCAACCGATTGTTGACCGTCGATCGGTGAGCAGTGCTAGCATCGAACAGATTGCTGATATTTCGAGCCGCTACACCCGCGTTTTTCCCTTGGCGTGCTCAGTAGAAGGTGATGGTACGATTGGGTGTTGTTCATTCATAGACCGTAATGCTGCGAAGGCCCACCCCGCGTGCCCTTATTTACCCATGTGTTGATTGCCCGGGGAACTTCCTACAAGTTTATCACCCTTGCTACCGTGTTCACACTGTTGATACAAAATTTCAACGCTTCAAATTTTTTGTCGCAGGACTTATTTGCCAACCTAATATATGTGTATATTCACAAAATCGTCAAATTTAGTCAGAAAGAATGATCATACTGTCAGTCGAAGCATTGACTGTAGTCGTAAGCAATTGTTCACCTCCTAAAAGTTTTGATAGCTTTTCAACTATTTCAAAGACAGAGGAACTTACAGATGTGTCATGACCACAATTAATTCTACGACTGGAATCAAACACCCTTCTATGGAACCCCTCAAAACGCTCAGGAAGTGAGTCACATGCGCTGCTCGTAAAGATATCAGAGAACTTAATCTTGCAGGATGCCTTTGAAACTAACTACGTCAACTGACCCATAACATGAGTACCGTAATATTTTCACGTTCCAGGTACCGCCTGGCTCCTGAAGGACCAATGCGAAAACTATTCAAAGACTGCCCTATTTTTGGTGTTGATGCTGGCGTTATTACACCAGTATGTCACTGGTCTGACACTGTAAATATGGATAGCATCACTCAGAATATTTTTTCAGGGTTACATCCATGTTGGACAAACTGTTTACGTTCGGTACAAACGTGCCTACCAAAAAGCAAACCTTTTCCACCGATTGTAAAATTGACGGATCAGTGCTTCAGAACGTCCTTCTATCAGTGCACCTCTTTGCCAATTTCCACACCGGTACCGACGAAACTAACGGCATATTATCATCTCCTGCGATATCGTCAATAAACATTATTTTGCTGTTTTTTATAACAACTTTCCGTGAGAAATAGCATTTTCGTCGTTTCTATCCAGAATGCGATCGTTTCAATGGTTAGTTGAACTCCGCCTCAGCGAAAACTTCGAGAAATCCTGTTCCGTTGATTTCCTTCTGATGGGTCGCCCTAAACGCAATTGACTTGCGAACGGTCTATTTCTTTAAGAAGGCTGGCCTTTTAACCACTTACGGCTTCATGAAAATGATTTTGCTTCTCTGTGTTATTCATTAATATGGCTCAATAGCCTTCTGTGCGGTCATTATTGGAATTGCAAGGAATTTTGGTATGCCCTTCCGCCTCTTAAATGCGAATGATTGCAAGTGGCGTTGAATGGGCTCCAACCATCTTAAAAATTTGAAGAGTCTTACATTGCTGTCTATGCAAATTGCAAGAAAATCTACTTGTGAACTGGATACCAACGAATAAAGTAAAATCAATCAGTCATTTCTCCCTCAGAGGTGCCTGAATTTTGACCCATAATTTTGAGTCACCGTCTATACCCGACGACGTTGCCGCCCAAACACTACCAAGAGGTGCAGCTAGTTGGCCATTCCCTGAAACGTGCTCCTCGAAGGAACTGCTTACGATGGTTCTTGGGGTTTCAGTTTCAGACGAGTAATGAAAGTCATAGTCTAGAATAGTGTAGTAGTGGCGAAAAAAACGCGGGAATCGGAGATTTCAGAGGAAGATAAGCCTTTCGAAAGGAGTAAAATTAGGGGTTGGAGGGGCATGGACTGGAGACTATTTGGAGGAGACGGATTACATGAAAAAGGTATCTGAAAGAACTGTTCTCATTGCACCCGCAGCACCATTGCATGCAGCTGACGGCAGTAATCTGGCTGCGTGCAACGTGTAGGTATCTGTGCGAGCGATGCGACCTCTACAGCTTTGAATACGCTGAAGAACTCGTCCGCCTAGGGTGTGTACGTCGGATGAGCCGGCTTTGAAGGCATTATTAAGTTCTAATTTGACTGTTTTTCGACCCCACAGCGTTCCCTAAGCTATCCTCTTAGGTCACACGTTTATGAAAGAGAGGAATCTCAGGAACCATTTTAGCGTGAACTGTGCCTTCACATAATAAGTATTGCTAGCTCTCAGTTTGCCTGAGTGTTTCACATAACACGCCTGTCATTGCTTACAAACCCGGAGTTTACGTTATTCCATTTCTACTATGTAATGCAGCCTCTAACATGCACTTCCCATCATAGAGCCCCGCAATGACGGAAGATGGATAGTGCGTTTGATATTGGAGCGCTCATAAGCAGTACGAGGAGGTGTAATTTGTCCAACCATAAGAACGGTAGTCTCTGGCACAGAAAACTAGCCCTTCCATCACATCACACTGTGATACGGAGAAGCTTTTCGTTTTCACTGCCGCTTTAAGATATTTCTTTGAATAAAGGCGACCTGAGAGCAATGAATGATAGCACTAGTTTGCCCGAGTTTCTCCTCCTCTATTCACGATTCTCATATGCACATTACATTTAACATCCCTTTGCTGCTCCCACAATTGTACAAATAATTCTATAAGGAGGTATTCCGAACGTATCCATAACAGATTGTCAAGATGCAACCAAC